ATATAATCAATAGTTCTGTAACATCTTTCTATGTTAACAGGTAATAACTTTGCTAATTTGGGTGAGCATTTAATAATAACTGTTGAATCACTCTTTGTATACTTGAAACCAATATAATATTGTGCATCAACCTTAGTTTAATAAAAATTTAAAATAAAAAAAATAAAAAATAAAAAAATGTAGGTCTTCTATATCCATTCCCATTCCCACACTTTTTCTATGTATATACCCTAACATCATCTAACATCATAAGATGACTTTTATTATACCACTAATTACTGTTTATAATATTAAGACCATATATACATATTATTTATTACAGCCTAAGTATATACCATATTCCTATTTGTTTTCTTAAAGTTCATTCTACCTACAGCTACTAACAACTTCATTTTTTTCACTCATGTAATTAAAAAAAATCATCCTAACGTTTTTTCTAACTGCCCCACCCAGTTTTCCAGTATGCTTACACTTGGGTTTCTCAACAGCAACAACTATTGTCATTTTAGGTTAGATATTTCTTTGCTGGGAGGGACTGCCCTGTGCATTTTAGAAGGCTTAGCAATATCCCTGACCTCTACTCATTAGATGCTTATAAATTCCCCCATTTTGCCCACTGTCCATGCAATCCAAAAGTATTTCCAAACACGGACAAATGCCTTTGGGTTGGGGAGGTGGCAGCATAATCATCTGGATTGAGAACGATTAACTTAAACATATCAGATAATTTATCAATTCTTTGTCTTTTTGCTTCATTCTGGTCTGGCTGTTAGGTAAGCTTGCTGCACAGCTACAACTCTGACTTTGAGACTTTTCTTTGCTATCATCCTGAAGCTCTCAGATGATTGATATGGTTCCACAGTTTACTTGCCTCCTCTTTCTTGGTTAACTCACTTATTTACTGGAGCACATCCTCCAACAGCTTTCTAAGAAAGGATTAATGGGAAGCAAACATTTTTTGAGTTTTAAAATGTCTTAATTCTGTTCTCATGCCTGACAGCTCACTGATGCACTTTCCATTTTTTTGGATTTTTTATTCTCTCTATGCTTCATCTTAGTTTCTACAGATATGGTTTCAAATTCACTAATCTTTTCTTTTGCAATTTTTAACTGCTTTAATCCCATCCAGTGTATTTTTCATCTTAGACATTGTATTTTTCATCTCTAGGAGTTCAATTTGGGTCTTTAAAAATATTTTTTGTCTCTGTTTAACATGTTCAAATTTTCCTTTAGCTTCTTTAACATATGTAATACAGCTACAGTAACTGTTTTAATGTCCTTGTCTGTTAATTCTAACATTTCTGTCAGTTCTAGGTCAATTTTTTTTTCATATCTTTATTTTTATTTTTATTTTATTGAGGTACATGCAATAAAATGCACAAATGTTAGTATACAGGAGAAGGAACCATATCTTAATCTTTCATACCATCTTCTTTATAGTTTATGGCATATAGAAGGTGAATATTCTCTAGGGTGAATTAAAGTTTAAAATGTATGTATCATTTTTGAGTGTTTTTTTTCAGTGCATAATAATAATTATTATTATTATTATTTGGTATCGTTAATCTATAATTACATGAGCAACATTATGGTTACTAGACTCCCCCCACCATCAAGTCCCCCCCACATACCCCATCACAGTCACTGTCCATCAGTGTAGTAAGATGCTAAAGATTCACTACTTGTCTTCTCTGTGCTGTACAGCCCTCCCTATGTGCCCCCCTACATTATGTCTGCTAATCGTAATGCAGTTCTAGGTCATTTTTGATTGAGTATCTCATTATCAGTCATGTTTTCCTGCTTACAGGTAAACCTGATCATCTCTGGATGTCAGACATTGTTAATTTTACCTTTTTGGATGCAAAATACTTTTGTATCCTTATAAACATTCCTGTGCTTTATTCTATAATGCAGTTACTTGGAAACAGTTTGATCCTTTTAGGTCTTGCTTTTATGAATTGTTAGGAGGGCCTAGAGCTGTGCTCAGTCTAGAGCTAACTATTCCCTGCTACAGAGACAGAACCTTCCTGAGAACCCTATCCAATGTTCTGTGAATTATGTGTGTTTTCCCAGTCTAACTGGTGGGAACAAGTACAGTTCCCAGTTCTAAGGACGCATCACACAGTGTTCTCAAATACTTTCAGATTTCTTTTTTCTTCCACCTCTGGCAGTTACCTCACATGGGAATGCACTGATCAATACTTTGTTAAACAGTTGGGATTGAGGGAGGGTAGGGGAATCTTGGCATATCTTGGGAGTTCGCTCTCTGGGCAGTTCTTTCCTCTATAGTACTCTAGCTGCCTTGATGTCACCAGACTCAGCTGTATCTCCTTAACTCGGAAATGCACTGGGATTCACCTGGGTACCCCCTCCCTGTACCACAGCCTCGAACTCTTCTCAAGGTAGTAAAATCATGGGACTCACCTTATTTCTGTTTCTCAGGGAATCAATATTCCTAGCTGTCTGATGTCTCATATTTTGAAAACCACTGCTTCGTACATTTTGCTTGATATTTTCTGTTTTCTTTGTTTTGGTTGTTTGGAAGGAGAGAAATCTGGTTCCTGTTCTCTTATTGTATGTGATTTTTTTTTTCTTCCTGGAAGCTTTTTATAACATTCTTTTATCTTTACCATTCAAAAAAGGCATAGATAGTTTAAGGTTTTTTCTTCCCATTCACACTGGCTAAGTGATTTAGTTTAAAAGCTTTAATTTTTTTTTATCACTGGACATGTTTGTTTTTAATTCCCTCCTTCCTGATATCTCTATCTTTCTGGAACTCCTACTTGTTAGATATCAGATTTCTTGGATCAGTTCTTTATTTCCTGTAACTTTTTTCTCATATATTTTCTATCTCCTTGATTTAAAAATTTTACATTTTTAGAGATTTTCCTAACTTTACCTCCTAACTCCTCTATTTAGTTTGTCAGTCATAATTTTCCAGAGCTCTTATTTTCCTCACACTCATTTACCACAGCATAACACTTGTTCCATCGTTGCCAAATCTTACATCTGTCTGGGCACCCTAAGGAGAGTTGGGTCTTAAGTTTTCCTCTGTATATTATCTTTGGCTCTTATTCGATCTTTTAAAAAAATCTTTATCTTTTTCTTTCAAGTAATATGTATTTAATCAAATGTCTGGTGATTTTTGATTGTCTGTTTATATTTTCAAGTGGAAAGGCTGACTGGAAATTTTATGCTCTCAGCAGAGCTTGTCAACTACCAGGAAGTTTTTTTAGGGTGGACAGACAGGAGGCAGTTATTCCAAATTCCTAACCCCTTATACTCTAAATGCAAAAATGTGGAGATAGCTGTACTTCCAGGCAACAAAAGCTATACCAGTCAATGAATTCTCTTTGTCTTGTTTTGCAATTTCTTTAGAGAACTCCCACCCACTCACCCATGTTCCTTGTTTTTCCCAGGGTGGGGGTAGCAGATGGTAAATGCCTGGTTGCCTGTCACTTGGGGATGTGGGTAGGGGAGACACAAACTACTACATAACAACCTTCAATTAATTCCTTCATTTTTAATATCACCAATTTCTATTATTTTTCCTCCATTTTATCTTCTTTCCCTTTATTGATGTAATCTATTTGGCCCCTTCCTCTATATTCTGGAACAGCTTTTCAAGCATGTCAACTGATTATACTTTTTGGTACTGAATTTGATTTCTATTTTTAAATGCAAGTCTTAATTCCACTTATGAATTTTGAGACTTATTACAATTTTTCCTTATGTAATCCATCTCCCCTCTGCTTGCTCTACCTTCTACATCTCATTTCTCTTTCTACAAACTCTATTCTTAAAAAGTACAAAGTAAGAATTTTCCCCAATTTTTACTTTATTTCCTGGTGAAAATCTTTTTTACAAGCACACTAATCTATCTCTGTATCTAATATGGCCTCCTTCTTTATAGTCTGTTGAATCTTTTCCTAAGTCTTATTCTTTCAATATGAAGATCTTTTTTTTAATTAAGGTATTATTGATATACCCTTATGAAGGTTTCACATGAAAAAACAATGTTACTACATTTACCCATATTGTCAAGCCCCACCCATACCCCAATGCAGTTACTGTCCATGAGTGCAGCAAAATGCCAGAGATCCACTATTTGCCTTCTCTGTGCTACACTGTTCTCCCCGTGATCCCCCTACACCATGTGTACTAAACATAATACCCTTCCATCCCCTTCTCCCTCCCTCCCCACACGCCCTCCCACACCCCTCCCCTTTGGTAACCACTAGTTCCTTCTTGGAGTCTCTGAGTCTGCTGCTATTTTATTCCTTCAGTTTTGCTTCACTGTTATACTCCATAAATGAGGGAAATCATTTGGCACTTGCCTTTCTCTGCCTGCAGTATGAAGATTTTAAGTTTGTCCATTAAAGGTGAATGATTGCTCACCCTACGATTACTGTCACTATTCAGTAGTTTAGAATCCTCCCCTTGGGGAATGAGTTGATGTAAATTTACATTACCAGGTCACAGTTTGAGCAGCTGGCAAGTTAAGGGGAAGGAAGCTAGAGGCAGGGAAAGCCCTAGCACAGGAACTGCCCTGTACTGCTTCCCAGGAGGAAGTAGGTCTCTATATCCTTAACTCAGTTTGGACTAGCCTCTAAGTGCCAAGTAAAAGCTATGTGGCTCTGGCTTCCGTTCTCATGCTGGCACCTACTACATCAGAGCGTCATTATCATTAATGATTTTCTTCTGGGTATGGTCATGAAATAAAACAGAAGTTTAAAAAATTAAGTCATAAGTATCTATAGTTCTCTCAGTCCTCAAAGGAGGCAAGAGTCTCTAGCTCAGGTAGTTATCAGGCCTTTGATATGTGAATCAGAGTGGAGTACTGCTCCATACCTTTAAAGGACTGGGAAGGCCAAGGTAAGGAAGAAAACTGATGTGGGGGAGAATGGAATAGACACAAAAAGACAGTGTTTAAGAGAATGAAAATGAGCAGTTACAGAGAAGGGCAGGATCTGGAGAAAAGGGTCTTGAGAGAGACTTACAGTAACTCTCACTTAATGGTATGTGCTATTTCTTCCTCACTGCCCATCTCATCCCATAAACCACCACCACACAGTAAAGATCTACATGACCTTACAAAGGTTTTTTCAAAAGGGACTTTGTTCCTTTTGGATGTGACTTCACAGTGTGATGCATCTTAAGACAGGAGCCGGAAAGGCCTGTGTCATCTGGGCTGCATGAACTGTGTGGCCTCCTGGCATACTGCTTTCCAAAGTTAATCTCACTGTAGCCCAGGGATTTAGGAGCACAGGCTGTGAAGCCGGAGGATCTGGACTTGGCCCCAATCCTGCCCCTTAGGAGATGCCAGTTCTGTGACTCATTTAACCTCTCTTTAAAATGTGGAGGGTGGGGGGTAGGGGTAGGCAGTAAAAGTACCTACTTCAGAGGGTTACTGTAAGAATTAAAGTCAGTTCATATAAAGCACTTAGAATGGTGTCTGGCATGTAGGAGGCACTCTATAAATGCTTAGTTGATATAATTAATTAAAATAAATATTACCATTATTGCTAAAAACTTTTAAGCTCCTCTTAACCTTCTTAGGCTTCCTCTCTTCAGGCCCCTACTCTATTAAATTAGTAAGTGTTACTTCATAGCAGGGACAGCTCCCACAGCCTTTTTGATGCTTCCATTCTGCTACCTGTAGTCAGTGTGAGAACACTCAAAGTTCAAGTGGTGTGTTTCTCTTCACCGGCCTACAGCTATGTTCATCATCACAGGACCTGCCAGCCAAGCCTGTGCTCATTTCCTGTGAATGCTGCTAATTCTCGGAGGGAGAGCAGGAATTATCCTGGGGTCTTCTTCCAAAGGTCCTACTTATTCTATCCCTAATAGTGTGACCCCATTTCGAGCATGTCAGTGCACACTCTCCCTGGTTTCCTGTGCTGGGGGCAGTCATCTCAATGGGGAGCCTGGGGTGGTGCTACCCTGCAAGGCCAACCTCCCTAACACATGCTCTGTATGACTCCCCTCTCCCAGACTCATTCATTAATTCACTTAACAAATATTTATGGGTCATCTCCTAGATGCAAGGAATACTGAAATCCATGATACTGTTCTTACCACAAAAGTTAACCCTTTTATTCCTCTAGTATGCTGTACTTATACAAAATTCTGCAGTCCCTTTCATTGCTCTTGAATAGTTCTCACATTAGATGAATTCTGAGACTAATGATGACGATAACAAGAAGGCTCTGTTTTGGTTCTCAAGGAGCTTATAGTCCAGAGACCACAGTGAATGGGTGACATATGTATAGTAACACAAGATGATAAAATCTTTAAGAGGAGTCAGCCTAGGGAGCTACAGGAGTAGACTGGTAGAACAGTGCTAAATGGGGAAATGAAAGGAAGGAGGACAGAGAAGAACTCCAAGAAGAAAGGACACAGGAGCTCTGTTTAGGGACTAGCTTAAACAGCAATTATTTTCCATTTCAAGTCTTTTAACTTGTTCCATATTCTTGGGAGGTCACTGACAGCCAGAGTTTTGTTTTTTTTTACTTCAAAACGGTACATTTTATGTTATGTGTATTTTACCACAATTCTTTTAATTTGCAAAAAACAAAAACAAAATGAACCACAACAAATACAAGACACTCAAAACTCAGACAATAATCCAAATGTCCTTCAACAGGCGAATGGCTAAAGCAAACTAGTGCAGCCCTATGATGGAATGGATAAAACAGAGCATGCTCTTCACGCACAGGACAACTTGGATTTTAATCACAAAAGCATCATGTGGCAGCCAGCTTTTAAGAGTGTTAAGGATGCACACTTACACTGGGCCCTCTGTACAAACAGCTCAGCAGCAGGCAAAAACCAGACACACTGCTTTTCATACATACCTCATATTTCATGGTAAAAAATCCATCTCCTCCGATGCCCTCAAGTGCAAAGGCCTGTACAATTGGCCATTTCTCCACTACAAACATATCAAATATCTGCAAGTGACCTAGAAGAATCAAGTAGAACAACATGTATCAAGTACCGTCCTGGATATAGCAGTGTAAACCTGATCTAATGTGGTTGGACAGGCAACATTTCTCACAAGTTCACCATGGCCTCACTTAGTAAAATAAAACTGAAACAGATAAAATGATTAGATATTAAAACTAGAAATACAAAATAAAAGCCAAAGAAAATTCAAACCATAAGCAAGTTACATAAATTCATTTTTCTCTATACTGTATTTTTCACATTTTGATTTACTAAGTAAGTAAATAAATAGTGGCCTATTACATCTGACTTGCATCACTTAGTGGATATAATTATTAACAGACCCAAATTTGGCTCCTCTCCCTTAAGAAACATAGCCAACTAACTTCCTCAGGGGAATATTACCAAATCAAAAACTTTCCTTTCTTATAACAATAGCTTCAATGTGCGAGGCTTTTTAAAAAAAGATACAAGCACTGCTAAACTTGATTTCTTCCTGTAGCTTTACACATCATTTTCGAGCCTTGCTGCTAGCACATTTTTCACAGCTACCTGAATTACAATTTCTTATTACTTCTTCTTACCAAGAGGCCCCCCCCCATCTACACTCTCTACATAAAAATTGGTACAGACTAGATAGCAACTTGTGGTAAATCTCTTATCAGTTCTTCTATCCGACTGTCAGTGACCTGCTGCATTGATGCAAAAACTTCAGTTATGAACATAAGCTTGGATAGGGAAGTCCCCCAAATTTCATTCTGCTTGATCCTCTGTCTTTAGTGAAAATAGATCAGTGGGTTTCCCAGCTGAATGCCTCCACTGAAAAAGGAGAAGTAGAGCCACTGCATTCACACAGCATCCAAGCAAGGTTCTAATATGGCTTGCTGTCGCATACTCACCCTGGGAGCTATAAGGAATGCCAATTCTACTACAGTCTCTAACCATGTCCACAAAGCTGGCAATTTTAAATTCTTCTGCAGCTTCCTCATCTTCATACTAAAGAGGGAAATTAAAAAGAAAACAGGCTCTGATGAAATATCACACAGAATTCCATATTTCCTCTGTATTTCATCATACAGAATTGCTCCAAATTATATTTATAGAGGACTGCACCCAAGAGGGTGTTTCCAAAGCCAACTTTTTATGTTTGTTAGTCAAAAATACTTGCCATTCCCTTATCTCACAGCACACACAAAAATCAAGTCAAAATGGATCAGAAACCTAAATGAAAAAGAAAACCTGTTCTCAAAAACTCTCCCAAGTGCTCATATAGAAAGAAGGGTTCTTGATCCCTATCAGGTCACACTTTCCATGAAATCCTAATTTGATTTCCAGCCAGCTGTTGAAAAGGGCCCAAAGGCAGATAGAAATAGATGCCAAGAAATCCAAACATGGAAATGTCACAAAGCTTATCAAATACTCCTGAGATAGTCTCCTAGGCACTAGTCCCCTGAAACAACAGGTACAGGCTGGTGATCAAGAAGTAGGGCAGGAGGGCAGGTTCACAAGTCCACTACTAGGTTCCAATATAAGGAATCCATTTTTTTAAAATTTTTATTAAGGTATGATTGATGTACATTCTTATGAAGGTTTCACATGAAAAAACAATGTGGTTACTACATTTACCCATATTATCGAGTCCCCACCCATACCCCGATGCAGTCACTGTCCATCAGTGCAGCAAGATGCCACAGATCCACTATGTGCCTTCTCTGTGCTACGCTGTTCTCCCCGTGATCCCCCACACCATGTGTACTAAACATAATACCCCTCAGTCCCCTTCTCCCTCCCTCCCCACCTGCCCTCCCACACCCCTCCCCTTTGGTAACCACTAGTTCATTCTTGGAGTCTCTGAGTCTACTGCCATTTTGTTCCTTCAGTTTTGCTTCATTGTTATACTCCACAAATGAGGGAAATCATTTGGCATTTGTCTTTCTTATAAGGAGTCCATTTTGTCCCTATAATTTATATATAAGGTAGCCTCATAATAAATATGAAAAGTTCCACTAAAATAAACAACCTTCTGTGTGAACCACATTAGGCAATTTGATTTTTTTAGGGTCCTCCTGTTCCAGACCTACACCTTCCTGAGAGAGCACCCTTAGAGTGTCTCTAAGTGCTTATTCTATCTTTTCTCCTCACCTCATTTTCGGTCATGCAGTGGAAATGAAGATTTCTCCAATATGCCACATAGGGTAAGAGATAGCGATAGTTTATGGGATTACAGTACAGATGGATACTATCTGATTTAATCAATATAATTATATCTGTAAGAAAAACAAAATTAAAACAAGGTTATCAAAGGCATTTCCTTTGGACATTTTCTGCTCACATCATTAGTAAAACCATTAAAACTACTTCAGAGACAAAGTAATAAAACTATAAACTGGAAATTCTTTAATTAAGCAATGTGCCTCAAAATGATTTGTAGAACATTCAAGTGTGAACAGCAAGGATTTTTTAGTCCCCATGCAATCCTCCCACCACTGTGGCCTTCTAATTATGACAATGCAGGCACAGAATAATCAAAACAACAGCCTTCAGGGTGTTTTGCAAAGTTTAACAGGGTCACATTTGTGATGCCAAACTCAGCTATGTACTTTGCTGCAGAGATAAATGCCAAATGGAAACACCACTGCCTAAAGCCACTGAGGCAGGAAAACAGTACAGAATACAGCTAGTGACTGGTTCTCCCACAGACATCAGTGTCTCAAACTCTTGGCTGTTGGCTCATCTGGCTCAAGGCCATCATGGGCTTGAGGATGTCACCTTTCAGCTTTGGAAAGGGTTACTGTGTACGGGGGGTCAACTTGTATACAGGAAAGCCTTGGAGGAAGGAAGTAGAGGCAAGTCAACAATGCTTCTATAAATAGATAGCAGCTCACAGACTTAAGGAATAACCATTGATGGCGAGTCAAATAAATAAAGCAGTCCCAAGGGTGCAAATAAACCTAGGTAAACTAAGAAACTAGTCATGTAATACAGCCATACTTAAAAAAAACAGAGATTTCATTCTACGGCTCCTCAGAAACCAGCTATCAGGCCTCTCTTGAACAAGATGACATGAGGAAGCTGCTGGAGGTGAGAGAGCAGCATGGGGCAGGGAGCCTCTGATGCAGCAGGTTTAGCGCAATGCCAGTACAGTAATACACTTTAACAGATCCTACTCTGTGAAAACATAAGCCCCATGAATACTGACTACAGCTGACCATACAGCTGGGTGGCCTCTTGAAATAGAGATCCATAATGCTGGCCTTTTAAGCCACTCTGTGCTCCACTCACGGTCAGACCCAAGGTGTTCTAGGGAACACAATATGGAGCAACCTCTTCACTGCTGACTCTCAGTAAGCATCAGAGTGAAAAGGTGGCAAGGGGTGGGTAAGGGGTCCCCTCTCATACCGCTGGTCTTCACACAGGCCCTTGAAAAGCCTTGAAAAGCCTTGATCACCTGCTGAGGAGAATTTGATGTCACTTGGATAATCTGAGGGCTTCCTATGCAGATGGTACTTTACACTAACATGTAACACATGACAAAGACATAGGATCCAATAAAAGAAACAACACAAAAGTTACTAAACCTAATTAAGCATTCTCTGGATCTCATGGGGTTCTGATGTCACCACTGAGTGAAGTTTAACAGACTGCACAAGAAAGAAAAGCACAAAAGATTCTTTTCTTCTTTAATAGTAAAAGAAGAAAGCATAAGACAAATAGAGGAAATGAAAACTATTTTAAATGTTTCTTTTAAAAATAAATCCTCGAGGAGGAGGAGCCAAGATGGTGGCATGAGTAGAGCAGCGGAAATCTCCAAAAACCATATATATTTTTGAAAATACAACAAATACAATTATTCCTAAAAGAGAGAACAGAAGACACAGGACAAGAGCCAGGCTACATCTACACCTGTGAGAACCCAGCACCTCACAAAGGGGTAAGATACAAGCTGCTGCCCGTGTCTCACCCCTCACCCCAGCTCCAGGTGGGAGGAGAGGTGATAGAGCGGGGACGGAGAGGGAGCCCAGGACTGCTAAATACCAGCCCCAGCCATCTGCACTAGAAGCACAGACACACAGTGCATGGGGTGCTAAATACTAGGGAAACAGGACAGTAAAACCTGCGAGCGGGTCCCCGCAGCCGGCGCCCCTGGGACAAAAGAAAAGTGAGTGTCCTCTGAAAGTCTAAAAGGGACAGGGACCCCACAGCTGGAGAGAAGCGCCACTGCACACTAAGCTCACCAGCTGGGAATTCCGGGAAACTCCCGGCTCCCTAACTCCCTGGGTAGCAGCGCAGCTCT